GTGGAGAAAGGTTCCAAACTGCCAATAGCATGAAACAAAATGCAGAATGTATCCTTCATTACCAGAGTGAACTAATTTTCAGTTGCCTCTTCTGTATCTCTGTGAGGACTGCAGGGTGCCGCTCTCCACAGCTGGCATCTCAAGTGAGTCACTATTGGGAATAAGCACCTCTAACTCAGGGACAGAATGAAGACAGTTTCTGTAAGTCCCGATGTTCACAGTTTGAAGGCTTGCTTTGTGCAGATGTTAATATTAATTTGTGGCTTTAAAACACTGCTTCCATTGCACCAATGTACCATTCCAATTTCCCCTGTGGAGGTTTTTGTCTATGGCATTACTCAACTGCCTCAACACAATCCTCACCTGACAGCAAGAAACAGTCTACTCTTCAATATGCAAGAATGCGCCGGCGCTGCGGCTCACTAGGCTAATCCTCTGCCTTGCGGCGCCGGCACACCGGGTTCTAGTCCCGGTCAGGGTGCCGGATTCTGTCCCGGTTGCCCCTCTTCCAGGCCAGCTCTCTGCTGTGTCCCGGGAGTGCAGTGGAGGATGGCCCAAGTGCTTGGGCCCTGCACCCCATGGGAGACCAGGATAAGTACCTGGCTCCTGCCATTGGATCAGCGCGGTGCGCCGGCCACAGCGTGCCAGCCGCAGCGGCCACTGGAGGGTGAACCAACGGCAAAGGAAGACCTTTCTCTCTGTCTCTCTCTCTCACTGTCCACTCTGCCTGTCAAAAAAAAAAATATGCAAGAACGCAGGTGGAGGGCAGGCGAACTTCTCAGTAGAAAGAAGGACTACATTTGTAAGGAAGAAGAAATAAAGATGGATAACTGATAAAGATAGATGATAGTTAAAAAGGTATAATTTTTGTATAATATCTATTAATTATTACTAATCAAAATGTGTTGTGTCTATTATGTGCTTATACTATGCTAGGATGCTGCGGACATGATATTGAGTAAAACATGGTCCCCAACTTCAAACTTCTAGTTTTCTAATGAGAGCTAGTACAGAGTGATATAACATGTGGTTTTTTCACTAATCTTTTACCATTCCACGTTTATCTAGGTTCATCATTCATGTGAGCTTCAGTCTCTCCTTTTAGCTTATGAGAAGCATAGACTTAAATTTCTATTCCTTTGCCCCAGGATTATATTCCGGAGACATTCTCTTGGGGCATTCGCCAAAAGAGGAGCAAACACAGAAAAGCAATACTGACGTGGTAGGGGTACCAAGTCTACAGGCAAATCAGCAAATCAGTGTGTTGTTATTTGACACAGTGGAGGAATAGATTATGACTTACAATCATGACTGCTTTCCTTGGAGGGTGGGCCATCTTTTCAGCAGAATCCTTTCTTGGGAGCTGAGTTTGGAAGCAGAAGCTAGAGTTTAATTGTGAGAAGAACTGGGAGTTTGTCATGGCAATGCTTTGGGGAAAGTGGGGAAGACGCAAGAGGTGAGGTCAAGGAGGAAGGAATTGGAGTGGAGCTGCAGGGACAGAGAGAGGCTGGGATGCTGTGTGAGTGAAATGGCCAGGGAACCACCCTGGTGGTGGAGCCACCAAAAGGGTGCCACTGGGGGTCAATGTGAAGTTGTTCCATGGTTGCAATGAGGCATCCCCCCAGCTCTGCCGCAGCCCCTTCAGTGAAGTCTGCATTCGCATGCCTGCCTTGTATGAATGGTTACTGGAGGGTGTGGTGGAGAGAACAGTGACTCTTAGTCTAAGTTGCCCTAAGCCCTGGAATCTGTGATGATGCAAGATGACTTTGCAAGTATGATTAAGTTCGGGATCTGGAGGAAGGAAGATGAACCTGGATTATGTGGGTAAGCCTGGTGCAATCATGGGGATCCTTACAAGTGGGGGTGGGGGGTGGGCAGGCAAAGAGAGCCAGGGGGACTGTGATAGGAACACAGCCCCTCTGGCTTAGAAGCCGAGGAAAGGGGCTGCAGGCACAGGGAAAGGCAAGGAAACAGATCTGCCATGGGTCATCCAGGAAGGAGGGCTGCCCTGTAGATGGATGCATTTCACCCCCACGAGTTTCATGTTGGACTTCTGAGCTCCAACACTGCAGGTAATAAATGTGTGCTGCTAAAGCCACTGAGTGTGTGGCCATTTGTTACAGCAGCAGTAGCAGCAGACAACTAATGGTGGGAGAGCAGAGTGCCAAGATGGAGAAATCTAAGTACCATGTGGGGACAGTGGCTAGATCAGAGGTTGACTCCCAGGGCATTTCCAAGTCAGAAAGGTCAGCTTGAGTCAGACAGTGAGGATCCAAATGAGAGATGGATGACCTTCGGCACCCATCGCTGGGCCTTGGAAAGCCATGTGGAGTGATGCAGCAAGCAGAGTTCAGAAGCTGAGAGCATGTATGTACTAAAGGATCCCTGGAAGGATGCCCAGCACTGTCTCAGGGGCTTGGCTGAAAAGAAGCTCCTACCCTGCACGTGACAGACAAATCTTGCAAATCAGTCTTCCTACGGTCAGCAGGTGATCAGGAGCAGCTGACCCCTCTCAAGTGCAGTAATTCCCAGAGGAGGGAACTGGACACTTGGTGACTCCCGCACAAAGGAGAATTAGCAGACCCCAAGGAGGGCACCGTGAGGATGCAGGGAATGCTTTCACAACAAGGGTCCGCTCTGACCTCACAAAGCCAGACACTGACCCAGCTGACAGAGCGGGAAGCAGAAACCTGGTCTCTGGCCTCTGCCCATGATCCTGGAGGAAACACAGACCAATCTCTCAACCTCCTCCTCACTCCACTTCCAGGAAACCTGTCAAATCAGAAAGCAACACCCTCTGGAAAAGCTCCAAATGAGTGTTTAGGACCTTGTGGTTCTCTAAGCGTGCCTTTCAATTGTCAGGTTATTATTACCGAAATAGGAACATTGTAATTACTTGAGCATTATTACAATACACAAAGTGACTTAAGCAGTAAAAAAGCTTTGATGAATTAGTAGTTCCTCTGATTCTTACAGTTTTGCAGCTCATGTGCAAAGACATCTTTTTAAAGTTTTCAGGTTCATGGAAAAGCTGCTATTGCTCTTACTAAGATCTTTGCTTTCTGACTCCAAATCGGTGTCCCCTATTGCTTTCTGGACACTCTACCGGCAAGTCCCACTAGCTTCACTTCCAACTCAATGTGTTCCACCTTGAGACTCAACCTCTTTTACTCCTGGCTTGCTCTTCCTTTTTTTGTGTTTCGTATCTGAGTGACTGGCCTTTCTGCCCATTCGGTCATACCCACTCAAAAATGTGGGCATGTCCTACCATCACTCTTTATGTCCATGTAACTTTAAGTATTACCATAACAATCACGATAATGGAAACTATGTTTTGAGTGTCTATATATTCTAGGCATCTTAGATATATTAGAGCTAATCCTTACAAATCCTGCAAAATTTGGACTATAATCCTTATTTTATAGTCAAAGAACCTGATATTCAGACACATTTCTCCAAGATACAAGGTAGCAGTTGGGATCAGGATTTGGAACCACATCTGAATCTTATGCATTTTCTGCTGCACAGGGCTGCTACCAATAGGTCTGCCAAATATTCCCGTTAAGCATCACTATTATCTGCCTACTTCTCTCCATCCACACGGCTGTTTTCTACCTTACTTTATGCTTTCATTGGTTCTTGCTCAGTTTGACATCAGAGCCTCCTCACCAGTCTGTCTACTCCAGTCCTGCTGTGTTCCCAACAAATGTCTCTAGTGATGTAATGACAACCTGATGGATCATCCACAAGTTCCTGTGTGCTCACTGTGGGCCCCTAAATCAGAATCTCCCAGCCTATGTATTTGTGTTAGGAGCAAAGCCTCCACCCCAAACACACATGTTGATTTTTATGGTGATCCAGTACAGCCAAAGGCATTTCTAAGAAGGAAACTCCCAGCTCAAAATTCCCATGACTCCTGGTCACCCACAGAATAAACTGTGTATCTCTCAACTTGACACAGAAGGGTCTTTTGTGATTCAGCTACAACTCACCTTTCATCGTATGCTGGCACACAGCGGTCACTCAGCAAATTAAATGCACAACACGGTAGGCAGGATAATGCACCCCCAAGATATCCAGGCCCGGATCCCCAGAACCTGGGACTATGTAATCTTGTGTGGCAAAAAAGACTTGGTAGATGTGATTGAGGTTATAGCCTGGAGAAGGGAGAGAAACTTGGGTTATGCGGTGGGCCCAATCTAATCACAGCGAAGCTTCTCCAGCTGTGGTCAGAGAGAGACTCCATGGTGGGAGAGGGATTAGAGGGACAGAACCCGAGGAGCCTAGGCCCACCTTGGCTGGTGTTGCAGATGGAGGAAGGGAGCCATGAGGCACTAAATGCTACTCTCTCAATGCTGAAAAGGGTAAGGAAAGAAATTCTCCCTGAGCTTCTGGAAAGAAATGCAGCCCTGCCCATACCTTCCTTTTGTCTCATATCAAACTTCTGGCCTTCAGAATTGTGAGACAATACATTAGTGCTGTTTGCTGCTAAGTTGATGTTTATTTTCTAAAACAGCAGTGAAAACAATAATCCACACGGTTTTCTGACAGTGGCCTTCCCAATCACACTTTATGCATGTACCGCTGCCTGGAGTGCTATCAGGCCCACTTGGGAAATTCCTACCTACTTGTCCAAACCCAGCTAAACACGGCTGACCCCTTAGGCGTGTAAGCACGCTCCTTCAGCTCCAACACAGCACCTAACCGCGTACTCAGAAGTGCTGATACCCTATTGTGTAGTTACCTACATCCCCCATTCTCCTTAGGGCTAAGATCTTGCCTTGCTTCTTTTGTGTTCCCGTTCTGGCATGGTGCCTTGTATACAGTCAGTGTTGCCACATATTTGCTGGGTAATAACTATAGAGATATTGAAGGAATTGTATTCTCCAAGTACCTCATGTCAGCCAATTAACATAGATTCTATGAAGTCCGGTCATTAGAATATCAAGATTTTAAATATCAAAGGTAAAGATTCACAGGTTATTAAACTCATCCTTTTCTAAATCAGATTTTTATTTTCCTTATATGAACAGCATTTATGTCTATCATTTACTCCGCTGGCCTTCCTTCCACCCAGCACTTAGTAAGAGTCTACCACGTCCCTATGCCAAGTGTTGCGGTTGTGAAGATGGGTGAGACGGCCTGCACTGGGAGGTGAGAACCGAGGCACGACCTGCATTCTACAACACTGTGAAGCAGGCTTCTGCGAGACGGTGCTGGTGCGTGAAACAGGAGTTTATGGAGTCTGGCAAAACCCCGCTAGTGGCAGAAGTCATGTATTTGCATGCAATTCCAGCACAAAGGCCTGAAGAACTTTAACACACTCCACAGCTTTCTGAGGCTCTGGATGACTCCCTGGCACAAATGTGTCATGGTGTTTGGACTTGCGTTTTCCTGCCCGCACATAATTGAGAGTGGTGTTCTAAAGCTGCTTTGGCCAGCCAGGGGAGGACTTGTGTGCACAGGCACGAGCTGGAGAATTTGGAATATTTTAGTGTTACTCCAAAAACGCATCTGTTTTCCAAAATATATACTCTTGGGGCTGGCACTGTGGCGCAGCGGGTTAAAGCCTCCACTTGCAGTGTCAGCATCCCATATGGGTGCCAGTTTGAGTCCCGGCTGCTCCACTTTCAATCCAGCTCTCTGCTATGGCCTGGGAAAGCAGTAGAAGATGGCCCAAGTCCTTGAGCCCCTGCACCTGCATGGGGGACCTCGAGAAAGCTCCTGGCTCCTGGCTTTGGATAAGCTCAGCTCTAGCCGTTGAAGTCATTTGGGGAGTGAACCAGCAGATGGAAGACCTCTCTCTCTCTCTGGCTCTACCTCTCTCTGTAACTCTGGCTGTTGGGGCCATTTGGGTTGTGAACCAGCAGATGGAGGATCTCTCTCTCTCTCTCTCTCTCTCTCTCTATCTCTCCTTTTCTCTCTGTAAATCTCTCAAATAAATAAAACAAATCTTTAAAAAAGTAAAAGGGACTTAGAATTCTTGATCCAAGAATTTAAGAAAGGTTGCCTACTATTGTGACCAGCATTGTGGCATAGCAGGTAAAGCTGCCACCTGTGACACTGGCATCTCATATGGGCACTAGTTCAAGCCCCAGCTGTTCTACTTCTGATCCAGCTCCCTGATAATGTCCCTGGGAAAGCAGTGGAAGATGGCCCAGGTGCTTGAGCACCTGCATCCACATGGGAGACCTGGAAGCAGCTAGAGTATGGGGTTGAGACAAAAGGGAGACAGATCACAAACAACCAGAACAGGTGTATTCAGAGACAAACCTGAGAGGGACCTACTCCAGGCAAGGGTGGAGGGCCCCATTCTCTTACAGGCTGGAGTTTATGTAGTTGAGGCAGCTGAGGGTCATGCATAGGTGGGCATTAGGCAAAGCTGAACTGGTTTGTGGGAGCTGCTTTGGTGTGCATGCGCTAACAGCTGAGGCAAGGGTGGGCTGGCTGGGAAGTTTCTCAATGGAGCAGCAGTTGGGATCTGCTCTCAGTCAGGCAGGCCTGGAACTGAAAAGCCGTGGGGTGCTTTAGATCTGCTCTCACTCTCCATCAGTCCTGACTCCAAGGATAGGTAGGAAGAAGAGGCGTCATGTCTTTTCTCAAGCCACTTCCTGCTGAAGAAGGGTGGTGCATCCGTTTTATGGATCAGATTGATTGGAGAAGAGCAGTCTTGTGATGTTCCTGCATGATGGCTCAGGACTCAGCAGTCACTGGTTCCTTCTAGAACTTTTGGTATGTTGATTATACATGGTAGGAATAAAAACACTCTGATTATGAGGAAGAAAGGAGACAGAAAAGACATCAGCCAGCTATATCCAAAATGATGAGGTGGGCTATTTTCAGAATAGATTTCATTAGTGCATTTTTAATACATTCAGTCTCCTCTTTTACCACACCTGACTTACTGGTGTAAAAGCCACACTTTTCACTGAGAAAGAGGCAAAGTCCTCCTTTATCGGCAGCGAGGAGGTCTAATCCTTGGCAGTTTTGAAGAACCAGTGCTGCCAAGGGATCTACCTGGTTCTGGAGGTGAGACAATTGTACTAGTTCACCTATGTTTTCTTTGAGTCAGCGAGGTATGTCTTCGATTGGGTTTGCCTTGTATGCAATGATTGCCAACCTGGCTACTCCCGTCCCAACTCCTGCTGGGACTTGCCAGCCGTCAGTGGAGGAATGTGTACAGATCCAACATAAAGAGGGACTGGGGTGATATCTGAAGAACAGAGAAGAAACATTGGGTGATATCTGAAGAACAGAGAAGAAACATTGACGATAAGTATGTAGGGATTTTGGTGGGGAGGTTTGATTTCTCAATGAGGTCCTTCATGCCAACACCAGAGACAGAGGAAGGAGGGAGTGGTATTCATTTAAAACAGACAAACTAGCCCCCGCATGCACCAAGAAAGAGATCCACTTGCCAGACACTGTTCCCCATCACCCTCGGGTCTGTGGACTTGTCTGTGATGGGCACTATTGAACCTGTGCTTCCTCATTCTCTTAAGTTTAACAGAAATGAGATGCCCTGTGTCAGATCTTGTGGAATAGAGGGTTGCTCCAAATGGGGAGGGTGTCCCCCTGGGGGCAGTCCATTTTCCAGTGTCCCACTGTCAGCAGTTGGGAGCTGGTTTGGTGGGAGGCCTTGGGCTGGAGTAGGCCTTGACTCAACACACCCAGTATTGCCACATCAAAAACAGGTTCCTGGAGGGTTAGGGGTTTGGTGGATTATAGAGGTAAGCTTTAATATTTCAGTCTTTCATTCTGTATGCCTATTGTTAAAGATGCAAAAGGCCGTATTCATGAGGTCCTTTTGGGAGTTTGAGGACCCTCCTTCAGCTTGTGGGTTTCGCACTGGATGTCTGGGGCCAACTGGGATATAAAGTGGAGATGTGAGAACAACTGTCCTTCTCTGGAATTGGGATCAATGTTGGAATACTCCCCATTGCCTCTGTAAGGCGGGACATAAAGAGGGCATGGTTTTCTTCCGGCCCCTTTATGATTTTGTGAAGTCTGTCATAGCTGAACTGCTTGTAGATATTTTTATCCATAACCACCAATAGGCAGGAAATCATGATATTGAACCCATATCCCAGGGTCTCTGGGTTGGTAGGTCCAATCTGGGGTAGGTGAGGCCCTAGGGATGGCCCAAGCCACCATTGCAGGTGTATCTGGGTCCTGGTGTTATAACTCATCTGCGTGCTGTTTGGCAGCATGCCAAATGCATTCCCATTCATCTGAAGTTGGAGTGGAGGATGGCCCGAGATAGAGGTCCCGCCAAGTTAGGCTGTAGGACTGGATCAGGCAAAGAAATCCCTTACAGTCTTTGGAGGAGTTCCCTGAAAGTGAGCCTAAATGCTCTTATTTTGCTAAGATCTGATCAGGAAAAAGGGACGTGGACCTAATGGGACCTTCTGCTCCAGGCAGCTCCCATAAAGGGAGAACAGGTTGGGCTGTTGGCCTCTGAAGCCAGTAAGGAGGAGGTGAGGGGTGGGGGTGAGGCACAGGGCAGATGGAGGTAAGGAGGAGGTGAGGGGTGGGGTCATGCACAGGGCAGATGGAGGTAAGGAGGAGGTGAGGGGTGGGGTCATGCACAGGGCAGATGGAGGTGAGGGGTGGGGATCAGGCACAGGGCAGATGGAGGTGAGGGGTGGGGGTCAGGCACAGGGCAGATGGAGGTAAGGAGGAGGTGAGGGGTGGGGGTCAGGCACAGGGCAGATGGAGGTAAGGAGGAGGTGAGGGGTGGGGGTCAGGCACAGGGCAGATGGAGGCTCCAGAGGGTCCATAAGTCAATGGGGTGGAGATCTGTTGGCCAGGACAGTGTTTCAGAGGGGACTGGTCGAGGAAGGAAGTGGTGGGGTGGAGGGTTTGGTGCAGGGTCATTCCTCTATGAGAACAGGCAGGTCAAGATCACAGAGAAGATTCGAGGAGAGGGAAATGGTGGGTGCAGGTTTCCAGGCCCCCTTCCTCCATGAGGAGAACCTGACTGTAAAGGGAGGGTGACCTCAGAGGAGAAAAAAGGCCTGAACATAAGGGACCTCTGACCATCTGCCATTTCTCTGGGTGAGCTGACAGGGTAGCAGAGAACTTGCAAATCCTAAGTACGACGTCTGACCACAGGGAATCATCATCCATTTTATATTGAGGCCAAGATGTAGTACAGAACAAAATCAATTATTCTGGTTCTACCTCCTTTTCAAGCCCAAGGCCAACAGACTTTTTAAAATAGGCCAAGGGTGAGTCAGGAAGAATTCAAGAAATTTTGGAGCCCATGGAACAGGCATAATAAGGCCAGGGTTGGGCCCTCGCCTCACTCGGGCAGCTCCCCAGGGGAGGAGCCAATTGCAACCAGAATCTTCCCCCAGAGAAGAGAGAACCCCAACATTCGAGACAGGCATCCTTAGTCCGCAACATGGGATAAATTCCCCCAACACCTTCTGAAGGTCTCCCCTTCTTCTCCCCGCCCCACCTTTTAAAAAAAGATTTATTTATTTATTTGAAGCCGAAACTGGGAGCCAGGAGCATCATCTGTCTCCCACATGGGTGCTGGTGCCCAAGGACTTGGGCCATCCTCCACTGCTTTTCCAGGCACATTAGCAGGGAGCTGTATCAGAGGTGGAGCAGCTGGGACTTGAACTGCTGTGCATATGGGATGCTTGTGCTGTAGGCAGCAGCCCAACCCATGAGGCCATGGTGCTGTCTCCCCCAGAGTTCTCCGTTTGTTATCTCTGAGGGAAAAAGGAGGGGGAGTGGGCACTACCCTAGACCCTCAAATGGAAGAAGCAATGGCCAGAGTCTGTCCCAGGGATTTGGGTTGGAGGTCAGGACCAATGTGGCGTGTGGCAGAGAGATCTGGCAAAAGGTGTCTGGCTGGAGTTTGTGTGAGAACACAAAGACAAGAAGGTGAGGGTGGATTTAACTGGGTCCATCGAGGAAGAAGAGGCAGAATTAAAGAGAGGCTGGAGAGCAAGAAATTTTGGGGGGAGTTCAGTGTGCTGGGAAAGCATGGCTGGGGGTCTGCCCAAGGCTGAGGGGCAGCAGGAGAGTCGGATGTCACAGTCAACCCGTGGCAGGCCGGCACCGTGGCTCAATAGGCTAATCCTCTGCCTTGCGGCGCCAGCACACTGGGTTCTAGTCCCGGTCGGGGCGCCAGATTCTGTCCCGGTTGCCCCTCTTCCAGGCCAGCTCTCTGCTGTGGCCAGGGAGTGCAGTGGAGGATGGCCCAAGTCCTTGGGCCCTGCACCCCATGGGAGACCAGGAGAAGCACCTGGCTCCTGGCTTCGGATCAGCGCGGTGCGCTGGCCGCAGTGCACCAGCTGCGGCGGCCATTGGAGGGTGAACCAACGGCAAAGGAAGACCTTTCGCTCTGTCTCTCTCTCACTGTCCACTCTGCCTTTCAAAAAAAAAAAAAAAAAAAAAAAAACAAAACAAAAAAAACAACCAAACAAAAACCCGTGGCCCTTACCTCTGGCGTGCCACAGACAGAAGGGAAGACAAGGGACAGGAAAGAAGGAAAGAGAGCCACGGTCTTCACCCAGAAGGCATCGGAGTTCTTGGCACAGGGCAGGTCCGGATAACCCCCCAGCAGGTGGAGGCAGAGTAGCAAGCTCTTTAGAGAGCAGGTTCTCCCATGACTGCCTACAAGCCAGAGGAGAGACCACATTCAGAGACCACAGTGAGCAAGGGCACCAGTCTCTCCAACCCATCCTTGGTTTCGGCACCCCCTGTTAGAGTATAGGAATAAGGCACAGAGAGGCCAAATCATGAACTCACAGCCAGAACAGGTTTATTTGGACACAACCCTGAGAGTGAGCCACACTGCCAGTGAGGGCAGAGAGTGCACAGTGGAGACCCCCATTATCTTACAGACTGGGGCTTTTACATTAAGGCAGCTGCGGGGTGTGAGTGGGTGTGTGTTAGGCGGGGCTGAGCTGGTTGGTGTGGGTTTGTTGGGAGGACACAGGCTAACAGCTGAAGGGAGGCAGAGCTGGTTGAGGAAGATTGCAGGGGGTTGGGAAATTTCTCAATGGCTTTGGCCTGGCGCAGCCCTGGCCGTTGCAGCCATTTAGGGAGTGAACCAGCGGAATTATTATCTGCCTATCTTTCCCTCTCTCTCTGTAATTGTGGCTTTCAAATCAATCAATCAATCAATCAATCAATCTTAGGGAAAAAAAGAGAAAGGTTGCCTACTTGCCAAAAAACTAGGGTAGCTTCTTAAATTTTTTTTGACACACACACAAAGAAGCCAAAGAAATGCTTTGTCTTATACCCAGAAATTGGAAATGATTTGTCTTTGAGAAAGGCACTGAAATTCCGTAGAAGATTCACTTACTCAAAACTGGCATTTGCACATCTGTTACTTTTGCCTGCCTCTCGCCATCCATCGGTCCCTCCCTGTCCTCTCTCTCCTTATGGTCTTTCTTCCCGTCAATTCTTAGTAAGAGCCCAGAGTGCACTGGGGTTATTACCATGGGTAAGACAGCTCCTGTCTCTACCCAAGTCTAGTGGAGCAGAAGACAGAGACAGACAAGTGACAGTCTAAAATGAGAAGGGCCACAGGAATCTCCCCTCACAGCACAGTCCTCTGCAGTCACCTTCCACTTTGTCTGCTTCTCTCAAACCTCTGAAATTCTGCCCCATCAGCAAAATTTCGGTAAGTTTTATATCCTATAGTTTGTTTTATGACAACAGCTGCACGAATATATACAATGCTTATAATCCCAAATATGCTTTGGCAAGGTATTTATATATACCTAAAGTAACAGATGAACCTCAGTACAGTGTGAAAAGCAAACTAAAGTCCTCCCTTGGGAGGGGTGGTTTAAGTCCCCCAGAGGAAGACTGAAACCGTGCATCCAACCATACTTATGATAAAGTGTAACCTACAAATAAGACACATCGTAATAAGCCGGCCAGCATCTCTACTCTTGCACACGGTGGCCGTTATTAAGTAAAACACAGGTTACTTGAGCACACGAACCAGGACACCACCACGGTCCCTCTGGTAACCCAGTGTGGCCCCAGTGACTGGTGGGGCAGCCTGTTCCGGCTGCATAACAGGACAATTCCTACCGCAGGGTGGGCTGCAGGCGACAGTGCGAGATTTCATCAAGCTACTCAGTGTGGTATGCAGTTCAAGTTTCTGAATTGCTTCTGGAATTTTCCATGTTGTACTTTATGACCAAGGTTGACTGTGGGTTACCAAAATCAGAAAAAGCAAGCCAGGGGCTACACCGCTGTACTTAATTGATAACCTTATTCTATTGTCTGGACTCTCCGCTGCCTTCCCTCTACCCTAATAGGAAACCTGAACCCAGGTCCCACGCGCCCGCGCCAGGTCCTCGCTACTGTCCCTCTCCGTGGCTCACTCTACCGCCGTCGCTCCGGGGGTCGGCCTAACGGCTCTTCAGAAAGGCCTCCTGGGCGAAGGCGGGCGCCCACGGCCGGTCCACACCTGAGCAGCAGGTCTCCTTCGGGGCCTCCTCCCGAGGGGTCATCATTTCACCTGCTTACAGAGTCCCTCCTGCTAGCCCGTGAGCCCCGCAGAACATTCTCCAGCCTAACCCGGGGATAGCACGTTTTCCGCCACACGGCAGACGCAGAGATATTTGGGGAATAAATGACCCGTCGGGGCCGTCGCCCAGAAAGAGCCCCTCACCTTTGCCGAAGCGGGCACGTCTTTGCCCAGACACCAAGGCAGGGGTGCGGGCCAGCAGCGGAGCAACAGCGACACCACGTGGCCGGTCTCCCGCGCGGGTGGCAGAGGCCCAAGCACTTGGGCCACCGCCGGCTGCATCTGAGAATGCCCGTTAGCGGAAGCTGGTTTGCAGGTAGCAGAGTGGCCAGGACTCCAACCAGCGCTCCCATATGGGATGCCAGTGTCCAAAGAATCAGCTTAACTTGCTGCACCCCAAAAGCATGTCCTAAATGCATGTCCTTTATTTAAAAAATATCATACAAAACTATGTGGACTTTCCTCCTCTTACACTCTTTCTACTCATCTCTCCATAGGGCCCCCCGGAGCAGTTGGGTGTGCAGTGTGTGTGTGTGAATGCGTATGTACACACTTATATATGCATAGAAGGCACTTTGAAAAGCTCACGGAAGGGGTGGGCATTTGTTCTTGCAGTTAAGAGGACATCCGCATCCCTTAGCCGAGTGCCTGGTTCGAGTCCTGGCTGTGCTCTTGATTTAGCTCCCTACTAATGCACGCCCTAGGAGGCAGAAGATGACGCTTCAAGTATTTGGGTTCCTGCCACCCATGTGGGAGACCCCGATCAAGTTTGCAGTTCCAGGTTTTGGCCTGACCTAGTGCCAGCTGTTGAGGACATTTGGGGAGTGAACCAACAGAGAAGAGACCTCTCTCTTTCTCTTTGCCAAATAAACACTTTTTAAAAATATTCATGTAAAATGTAATTAAAAGGTAAGTTTGTTTTGGTAAAAACATGAAGTTCATGCATTTTATTTTATTTTGTATTTTTAAGGATTTATTTATTTATTTGAAAGGCAGAGTTACAAAGAGGCAGAGGCTCAGAGAGAGAGAGAGAGAGAGAGGTCTTCCATCCACTGGTTCACTCTCCAAATGGCCGCAGAGGCTGCAATGGCCGAAATTGGGCCAATCTGAAGCCAGAAGCCAGGAGCTTCTTTCAGGTCTCCCACATGGGTGCAGGTGTCCAAGGTCTTGGGCCATCTTCTACTGCTTTCCCAGGCCATAGCAGAGAGCTGGATCGGAAGTGGAGCAGCCAAGACTAGAACTGGCACCCATATGGGATGCTGACACTGCAGGAGGTGGCTTTACCTGCTATGCCACAGCACCAGCCCCCATGGATATATTTTCATCACACACATTTCAAGACCTTTTTGAAGACTTCTTATATATACATTACACAAACCTACAACTGAGATGTCCAGTTCACTTTGCTATGCAGTTACCTCACAGTACTAGTTCATAGTGCAGTTTGAGTCTCAGACGCAGGCCCACTTGGTCCTGGCTGCTCTGCCTGTCCTGGGAGCCTGCCTCCCCGCCCCCCTCCCCTGGAAACTGGCGTGGGCACACACCATGGCTGTGCTCCTTGCGTGTTGCATCTGTGTGTCGCAGACACGCTATTTGGATTTGCACCAGGCTTTTCTGCCACCCTGCGCGGCTCTTTGACCAAATGCTCTCTGGAGTTAGGTTACCCGGGTAAAGTCACCTCTCCTTTCACCTCATCTACCTGCCCACCGTCAGCAGCTTCCATGCTGCCTCCTCATCTGCAGTGGGGCACACAGCTCCGCCGGCTCTGCCGGGGCATCTCTCAGGACCGTCCACCAGCCGCCAGCCCTGCTCACCACACTTGCTGGCATCCTGCTGCCTTAACACCCAGGCTTGGCGCTTGCTACACCAGGAGTTCCCAGCTGGGGACAGAGGAGTGCACGTCCTTTGTGCACACACACATTCTGTCTGATTCGCGCTTTGTGTTGGTTACACAGTGACGGCCATTGTGTTTGTGAAGGGAATCGGAACCAGGTCTTTGTGAGGCTGTCAGGGTGGCGGCGGCACAGTGAGGTTGTGTAGTTATATCATGGGACAGCTTCTGTGCCCACCCCTTATCCCTCCCAGCCCACGGATCCTCTACAGCCCCTCGTTTTTCCCTGTAATTCCTCCCACATCACTCAAGAAAGTATTGATTGAGAGCCTAACCCTACGATAGGCAGTGTTGATGGTATGAAGCATTCATGGGGCCAGCCCTTTTCAAAAGGTGCTAATTAGATTTTTCCCCCATATAAAACCCCCTATAGCATTTTATTTCCTAACTCTGCTTCTCACAGTCAACTTCATTTGCCCATTGAATGCAATTTGCTTCTCATGATAAGATTCTATTAAGTGATTATTAAGACATTCTGAGTTCCTCCAGCCTACAATCATTACCTACCTCCTGGGGGTGATCCGAGGAGTAATTAGTTAAAGCTCACTGTTGCCTCCCAGCACCCGGCACTCTAAACAGAAACTGCTTCCACACAGCAATCCGCGAGCTCCAAGCGGAGTCCAGCCAGAGGCCCGGCGCAGTCTGCTCTCACTGGGATCCCATGAGTCCTTGCTTGAGGAGCCGCCGCGCTGTGTGGAGTAGGTGGAAACAGCACACCGGAAGTTGCCTATATTTATATCAAACTATATCCTTAAGGGTTGATTTTTTTTCTTTTCATTTCTAAACCACGTTATTTGATCGTTCTGATCTTAGTGTTACTAAAGCAAACCCAGAACTTCCACTAAAAACTGAAATATGCTGTAACAAACCAACCCAGCACCCCCTCAAGCCTCTCTTTCCGTCTTTCAGAAATAGCTTACGGATCTCCTGGTACCCGAGGCACTGGGCGAGGATGTGAAGCTACGATGTTCAAAGTCACTGTCACATACTTTATCCGAAACTCACATTCAGTCACAAACCTAGGTAGGACAGAGAAGGAGAAAGAATGTACAAGAGATTTAAAATACCCCAGTGATGAAAGCGCTCAAATCAAATGCCAAAGGCCAGGCCATTTACGTCCCAGGCAGATTAGAAGCATTTAATTAGAGGGGGCAGTGAGTGCTTCAGAGAGCACCCGTGCTGTACATCAGAGCACTGGGTTCGATCCCTGGCTCTGGCTTTTGACTCCAGGTCCTGCCAATGCAGATCCTTGGAGGGAGCAGGTGATAGCTCAAGTAATTGGGCCCCTGCTACCCATATGGAAGAGCTGCACTGAGCTCCCAGCTCCTGACTTCAGCCTGGCCCAGCCCTGCCTGTCTCAGGTATTTGGGGAGTGAACTAGCAGATGGGAAGTCTCTTTCTGTGTCTGTATGTCTCTCTCTATCTGCCTCTCAAATAAATAAATTAAAAATTTAAAAAGTGTTAAATGTATTTTAAAATACTCACTTAGGTATGTGTATGTGTTTCCTGGCACCAGAGTACCTGGACATGGGCGAGTTATGCTGGGGAGAACAGCACACAGTAAGTGACATTAAGAGTCACGTATCGGGGCCGATGTTGTAGCACAGCTGGCTAAACTGCCCCTGCAGCACTGGCATCCCGTTCCGATCCAGCTCTGTGCTCACATGCCTGGGAAAGCGGCAGGATATGGCTCAAGTGCTTGGGCCCCGGCCTCCCATGTGGGGGATCTGGATAAAGCTCCTGGCTCCTGGCTTTGGCCTTGCTTAGACCTGGTCACTGTGGCACTTTGGGAATGAACCAGAGGATGCAAGTATCTCTCTGTGTGTATCTACTTTTTTCTCTGTAACTCTGCCTTTCAAATACATAAATAAATCTTTTAAAAAGTCACATATTATGGAGCCGGCATTTGCCCCACTCGTGAATATGCCGACTGAGATGCCTGCATTCCATGTGAGAGTGCCTGGGTTCATGTCCCAGCTTCGCCCTGGATCCAAGTTCCCGATACTGCACAGTCTGCGAAACAGCAGAGCTGATTTGAGTATTCGGACCCCCGCCACCCATATGGAAGACCTGGAATGAGTTCCCAGCCCCGGGCTTCAACCTGATCCAGGCCAGGCTGTTGCGTGTATTTGGGGAATGAACAAGCAAATAAGAGCTCTCTGTCTGGATGTCTGTCTGCCTCGCCAGTAAAATCAGAGACAAACAATTCTAAAAAGGACTCGCACGTCGCAAGCATTTTTAATTGCTCGGAGGAATCCGGAGTACACGCACGCACGTCCTCCAGGGCAGTGCTGTGTGACTTCTCCCGCTGTTGCCGCTCTGCTGCCTGTCAGATGACAGCACGGAGCGAGGCTGACTTCTCAGAAAGGAACGAGGTGCTTCCCTGCGTCTCTCCTTTCAGAACCGCTGAGCGAGAGGAGGTCATGGTCATGTCACGTTTTACTAAACACTCATTTTGAAACCCAGCTCGCTCCCGAAACCACAGCTGTCACTCACTGTGGGTGCTTTCACTGCGGCTGTTTTCACAGGCACCTGTGAGGGAGGCTCGAAATAGCAAACTGCTGTTCAGAGAGGACCTGCGGGGCAGGGCGGAGATGGGAATTCTCTGTTCCTTTAGCTCAACCAGGCTCTAAAGATATTCTGCTAATTTAATAAAATAATCTCTCTGGAGTATTATGAGTGGTTAATGTTATTGATTGCTAGTCTCCACTTTCTGCTTGTCGTGTATTGCCTTTATTATTAGAAAAAAATTAGCTTCATTTTGAAAAGGAAGCAAAATCTGTAACATTTGCTTTTGGAGTCTCAGGGCTGAAGAGTGTGCTGGGGGGCAGGAACAACAAACCAGAGCAAGGCCATCATCATCATCCTCATCATCACAATCATCATCATCATCACAATCATCGTCGTCGTCGCCGTCCTGGAAATCTAGCACAAAACCAGGCACCGAGTCAGGCCCATTCTAATTCACCTGTGGTCACTCATTTCATCCCTGTGACCACACTGTGGAGTCAGGACTATCATCAATCCTTTTACAGACAGGAAACCCACCGGCACACATGATTCATATGCTTACACAGTGTGCATAAGGCGGCAATGAATAAATGAATACACAGTATTTCTCCACATAGCCATAACTGACACCCAGGAAGCCCACCTGAGAGATAACACCTGCCATGTGGGGCCTGTTAGCAATGCCACATGGGAGTTTCAGCCACCATCCCTGGCTCTGAGCTGTGGCGCCATGGATGAGCCATGACTTCACAAGTGAGTTTTGACGTCATGAATGACCCATGGCATCACAAACAAGCTATGCTGTTGTGAATGAGTCACGACATCACAAACAAGCTATGACATCATGGAGGAGCTATGACATCATAGATGAGCTGTCTTCTTTAACCCTTCAGCTTTCTCTGAGATCCCATGGGAATGAATGGGAACATCACAGGACGCGGCTGCAGTCTGGAAATAAAAACAACGGCAGCAACACGTGGGCCAACTTGGGGCTGGAAGCGCAGGCCAGCCCTGGGAAGTGTTGTGCAGCTGTTCCCTCCTTCACTTTGTCTGTCTGCTAACTTTGCCGGTCAAGGGCTAGCTCGTATTGATCCTGTCTGCCAATACAGTGGCAGCCACTGGGATTCATGCAAACACCATGAGACCGCCAGGCACCTTCTGAGGCACCCTCTCCTGAAAATTCATGTTCCCTGCTGCTGTTGTAGTGGTGAATGGATTTTATCTGAAGAATGTTACTTCTCTCAAAGGCGGTAATGTATATAGAGTGGTCACTCCACTAACTCAACCACTTGCTGGGAGCTCACGGATCACACACTCAGTGAAAAGGAGAGGCAGCTGCAAGGTTTTGTCAAAGCGGAGTGGACTCAAGTGTGGCAGACTGAGTATGAATCCTGACCCTGCCGCTCACCAGCTGGGGCACGGAGGGCTTTGGGTGCCCCTCCGCACCCCCCATGGGACGTGACGGAGCTGGCTGTTAATGGTTGCCTCTAGATAGGACATTTTGTGTCTCTGAGATAACAAAGGCACTGAGGACAAAAGAGGCAACAAATCTTTCCCCTAACATACGGGCACTTCAGTGAGTGCACAGAGAACCCAAACTGCATTCCGTGCGATCACTCAGGGCAGATGTTCTAGAAGGGCACACGAGAACTGGGGGTTGTGGGAGTGGAAGCCAGACTCCTTTCTGTGGAAAGATGGATCTCTGGGAAGATGGAACTCTGGGAAGGGGCCTTCTGCCTGGATAGCACTGAGGTCTGTCTGATAGGATCAAAACGCACAGTAGGGCTGCATTTAATACATGGGGAGTACCCTCCAACTGTTTTGATAAGTATCCATGAGGTGCCTGCTGTGTGCCGGGCACAGGCTGGTACTGGGTTGAGATGACCAGACCTGCTCTTGGGGAACTTACAATCTAGCGGTCAGGTCTAGAGTGAGCCAAGTCATGAGGCTTCTGAGCCTCCAGATTTTGGGGACAACAAGAGCAGTTGAGGGAGTCAAGCAACCCAGAAAGGGGCATATAGGACAACTGGAAGATCACCAATACGAATTTCTCCGAAGGCTCTGTGGTGTTGGCATGAGGCCAGGAGAGGAGGGCGTTGTGTCCTTTCCCCTAAGAGACTCGGTTCATTTCTCCAGGCTCCTGTTTGTGTAGCCCCTCACCGCTCTCAAACAGGGACAGCTTCGGGACATGCGTTTTTCTTTTTTCTAGATTGATTTATTTATTTGAAAGGCAGAGTGGAAGGGGAGGAGGGAGGGAGGGAGAGATATCTTCCATCCCACTGGTTCGCTCCCCAAATAACCACATCAGCCAGGACTAGGCCAGGCTGAAGCCAGGAGCCAGGAACTCCACCCAGTCTCCCACATGGGTGGCAGGGACTCAGGTACTTGAGTCATCACCTGCTGCTTCCCAGGGTGCATTAGCAGGAAGCTGGATGGGAAGCAGAGCTGAGATTTGAGCCCAGGCACTCCAATATAGGATGCAGACATCCCAAGCAATGGCTTAACATGCTGTGCCAGAGCACCTGTCCCAGCTTTGTGTTGGGCGTCATCCACAGTCATCCGCTCTCCATCTGCGAGAGGGAACTCAAAGCCTTTCACAGAATGACTTCAGCCTGTTTTTCTAGCTTAACCCCCAACCACATCTTTACATGTCCTCAAATATACCCGGAGCGCACTTCTGTCCCCTTGCCTGTTGCTCATGCTCTTACCCAATTTTTTTCCCAGTGGTCTCTACTCCCTCTTCTCCTTAAAGGACCAACTCAAGTATTATCTTTCCTGGGAAGAGTTCTCCTACTCTTACGGCTGCGTTTCACTTAACTCAACACAAGATCCACTATAACCCTGTTCTCCAAGTGCCCCGCACATGGCTTTAGAGAGAGCTTAAGCTCACATAGCTCCCAGCAAGCTATATTCCCAACATATGGAGTGAGTTGAAATGAAATTGCTAATGGATGAGTCCAATTTGCAGACCAGAGTTTTCTCGTACATGCTAGGCCCTGTCCATTGATGGCTGCTAACTGGAGCATTGTGTAGAAGGTTTTCTTATTTATTTATCTGACAGGCAGAGTGGACAGTGAGAGAGAGAGAGAGAGAGAGAGAGAGAGAAAGGTCTTCCTTTTGCCGTTGGTTCACCCTCCAATGGCCGCTGCGGCTGGCGCGCTGCGGCCAGTGC